GTATAAATAATGTTTTATAATTAGATGACATATACCTTAGCATTAATCAAATGAAACAGTTGTGCCTCTTCTTTCACCTCTTTTCTAATTCTCAGATAATTAAGTAATGGTTTAGTTGTGGCGCCCTTTCAGGGATTAAAAACATTCAAAATTACAAATAAATTAATATTTAATTTGTTTAATAAACTCCTTCAATAAATGTTTACTACTTTAAGCATCTATAATATAGATTCTATATTATTTATAAAGTCTATTTATATTTATAAAACTCTATTATATCTGAATAACATTAATTAATATTTTATATGAATAGTATAAAATATAATATATATTATAAAATTTAAATAACTGATAAATATTGTATAGAATAGTTAATAAAAATCAAATAAAAATATAAAATGTATTTACCAAGATAAATACAGTAAATAAGATGACAAACAAAGTGGTGGTCTTAAGAAGGGGTAGATTTCCAATTCCCTCGTCTTTGAGGACTGCAATCAGAGCGAAAGCAACGGCACCTCTCAGTCCTCCGTAAGCCTATTAAACAAATTCTCATTGATTTCTACATTTTTTTCATAATTTCTCATTTAATTAATGTTTATACTGATGACTGAGTGCCTCATTATGTGTGTTTGTGTTGTATAAACATATGTTTGACTGTAATAGTGATAATTTATTGCCTGAGCTCTGCCCAGACATCGATCCATTGATCAATCATTTACTGTATATGAGAATCACAAACGGATTAATTTGGACGACGTTTGGATTTATATACAGTATATAATACACTCTTTTTGCCCGAAGGACTGACTCACAAATGAAGTCTGAATCTAACATTTTTATATATAAAACAATTGTTTTTAATGAAGCACTCAATCCAGAAAAGTTTTTATTGAAATATGTGGGCAATAAATACCATTAGTATTTGCTCTTCAAATTTGATGGCCGGTACTCTTTGCAGAAAATTGTTTAAAATGAATGTCAGCACAAAAACGCCTACAAATACAGGGTAGTTATCAGTAAACTATTGAATCAATATAAATGCTGGACTGTATTAAGAGTTATAGAAATGATTGGAATTGTGAAATTTTGTGGTAATATTGTGGCAATACTATTAGTGAATTTAGTTTTAAGAAGTTTCTGAGAGTTTATTGAATAATAGGAAATTCTACATCACTTGTCAATATAGCAGCAATTTATTATTGAATATAACTAAAGGCTGACTATTCTGTAAATAATTGAAATCAATAGAAAGTATGGTCAAAATATTTGCTCAAGAATTTGGTTGTTATACTCAACATTTCGATAGAAATTCAGATATTCTTAAAGAATTTTATTTTATGTATTAGTTTTAATTTAAATATAGCTATACTGTACTTCTGTTTGCAAAATTAGTTTAATTTATGTAAATAACTACTCATAAACTCGTAAATTGATAATAATGTAAATATATGAAGTTGAGATAAATTATTAATTTAAATCTTAATATAAATTTATAAACTTTGTGAAAATGAATAAAACTCGTAAGCGATTACATCTATTTAAGAGTTATTTATATGCTAAATAAAATGCATTTTTATATTATTGTCTTTATTTCTATGATTTGAATAATTCGGAATTAAAACTTTTAATCGCAAAGTTATATTAACAACAACAAACACTATAATATTCATAGAAAAGTATTAATTAAAATGAGATAGCAAAGATATAAAAATGAGATAACTTACTGACAAAGCGATAAATGAGACAAAATAGTAGTGAGAAGAGAGCGAAGGTTGTATTCCAGACCAGTTTTTCGGTGATAAGCATTGTCCCCAAAAAGTAAAATATCAATAAATCCGAAATTGTGCTGAAATTGTAATTATATGTTGTTTAATAAATATATTTCATATGAAATTATAATCAATGTCAACACAAACTAAAAGAAAATTTTAGAAAATTTTGCTATATTATAATCCAGTACTTAATGAGAAAATATAATTTTAATTATTTTTTCAGATCTCTTTCTCGTCTGCATTATCCGTATATTAATTTTAATTATAGTGTTGTGCTTAACAATTGCTAACTTAAAACATTTTGTAAAATAAAACTAAAAATGGGAATCAAAAAGGATAATAAATAGTATTAGTCTGGAGAACAGCAAATAAACATATTATTAATTTATTTATATAACATATATATTATATATAATGATGCATTCATTAGTAGAGCTCAATGTCTAGAAATGGTCACTAAATACAAAACTAATGAAGGATTTGAATGCAGAGAAAGAAAGCTTTTACACGAAATCTATTTATTCTCAATGAGTGCTCAAAAGAGATTTGTGAGAAAATTGAAATCAGTTTTCACATCAATTTCATTTAATCAATATAATAGTAACCTTAAAGTTTTTGTGAAATATTTCACAGTTGTTCGCGATTTTTTCGATATATTTTTAAAAGTGTATTCAGCTTGGACCTTTATTTTAATATAAATTAATACATGATTATTGAATGCAATTATAATAGCATACGAGTCCGCATCCAATTAGACTAATTAGTCCGGAAAAGTGGACGATTTCAGCGCATATAAAGCCCATGTATGCCATCGTCACGACTATCATCGGCTCAATGACTTAAGAAATGCAAATTCATATGGTATTAGTAAATATGACTTTCAATAAAATAATTATTATATTGCATATCCCTTTATGTTTAGTTTAAATATAAAAATAACTTATAGCTTAAAATAACTACATATAAACATGACCTGTTTAGCACCTGACGATATTACACTGTATATACATTAGAAATTTTAATCAAATTAATTATTTTCTGTGAATAACTTTTTTTTGCAGAACTTGTGTGTAACTAACATTTTGTCGTAATTTTATTCAAATCTCTTTTATAGATATTGAATAAGAGTTATATATAAGTTAGCAGCAATTCTATATAAAAGTAAATATAATTTATATAATCATTAGTTTAAATAAGATGACAAACAAAGTGTAATACCCCTGACATGAGTCGTTTTGAGTGTTATTAATGACGTGAAGACACCAAAAAAGACTCCAATGAAAAATCCGCCAAAACTGACCAAAAAGAGTGATAGGAAACCCTTTAGGAANTATTAAACAAATTAAATATTAATTTATTTTTAATTTTGAATGTTTTTAATCCCTTTCAGGGCGCCACAACTAAACCATTACTTAATTATCTGAGAATTAGAAAAGAGGTGAAAGAAGAGGCACAACTGTTTCATTTGATTAATGCTAAGGTATATGTCATCTAATTATAAAACATTATTTATACCAGATTAATTTTAATCTCTTTTCCAAAGTTTATTCAAAACATTGCATTTGGTGTGTCAGACATCACAGGTATGTACAGAATATATTTCTTATATCATATATACTGTACATGTATTTGCTTTTGGTATAAGCTTTTCATAGCTTTAATACAAATATATGTACTGTATTACACAATAAAACAATAAGCTATCACAATTTTAAATAATAAAAATCTTTGTAAATCAAATTATATCACTGTATTAATATTTTTCATTAATTTAAAATCAGGAGTTTATACATTCAACCACTACTGGACGGTAATTAGTTTAACAGATTTTCTTTTCGCTTTAATATTTTTAACTAATTTATAGACTTAAACAATATTCTTACCTAATTTCAAAATTTATAATTTTTGAGTTTTATTTTTTATACAAACTATTTTTATCAACTATTTCGATTAAATTTAATTTGTAATTTATGTTTCTTCTCTATTCTGTTAAATTTTTATAGAAAAAACTTATTAAAATCAACGAAAAGTATGTTACAAAATACTTAACTCATGGAAACAACGAACAACGAATTGAAAAAACTCTGCAGAAATTAATATTAAAGTAAGAATTCTATGCTTTAGTATTCAATCATTTTAGTTGAACGTAACTTACATAAAGTTTAGACTATTTTTCATTTATGATTCTAATGTTATATAGAACTCACTTTTATATTAAAAACAATTTTATATGAATATTCTTTAATCATTTCAAAGAATCATATAAAGAGCATTGTGTTGAAAATAGCATAAGAATCTGCTTTAATAAATAGGTTGACGCCATCTCTATGATCTAAACTTAACATTGAAATCGACTTTATTCTCATTTCATGTCATTTACTCGATATAAACTTTTTTAGGGAGGAAATGGAGAAACTTTTCGGAAGCGATGATAAGAGTGAAAGATTTTCCGAAGACACGAATAAGTAATGAAATGTTATAATGTTATAAAATTGATTAGATTTGAGTATCATTTTTATCTCAATATTTGCAGTAATCGCAGGAAAAGTGTTTCAAACGATTCACAGTTAGAGATGGAGTCGTCCGAAGAGACAAGTGATGATGAACAGGGTGTTTGTCATCCTATTCAACGAAAGTT